GGAAGATGTTCCATTCCTTGGATCGTTTTTGTGGCTCTACTGTGGATGCACTTTAACAGGTCCACATCTCTCCTGTGCTGTGGACTCCACATCTGGATGCAGTGCTCCAAGTGAGGCCTCACCAGTGCAGAGTAGAGGGTCAGGATCACCTCCCTTGGCCTGATGACCATACTCCTTTTGTTGCAGCTCAGGATACAGTTGGCTTTCTGGGCTGTGAGGGCACATTGCTGGATCATGTCCAGCTTGCCATCCACCAGTGCTCTTCAGGTCCTTCTTGACAGGGTTGTGCTCCATCCTTGCATCACTAGCCTGTACTGATAGTGGAGTTTATTGTGACCCAGATGCAAGCTGCTGCACTTGGATTTGTTGAGCCTCGTGAAGTTTATCTGGGCCCATTGTTCCAGCCTGTCTAGGTCTGTCTTTGGGTGTGTTGACTGCATCACACAGCTTGGTGTCATCTGCAAACTGCTGAGGGTGCACTCAATCCCACTGTTGATGTCATTGGTGAAGATGTTAAAGAGCACAGATCCCACTACTGACCCCTGAGGGATGCCACTTGTCACCAGTCTCCATCTGGACATTGTGCAGTTGACCACCAGTCTCTGGGTATGACCCTGCAACCAGTTCCTCATCTGTTGAACAGTCTACCCATCAAATTCTTATATTCTCAATTTGGAGAGAAGCATATTATGGACAACTGTGTCAAAGGCCTTACTGAAGTCCAGGTAGATGTCATCAGTGGCTCTTCCATTGTCCTGTTACGGTTAAACCATCCTAAAAAACAGTTTTGTTGGTCAGGCAGGACCTGTCCTTGGTGAAGCCAAGCTGGTGAATATTTCTTGGTGAAGCTGGTTATCACGTATCACCTCCCTGTCTACCCTCTGCCATAGTGTCCAGCAGGATTTGTTCCATGAACTTGTCTGGCACAGAGGTGAGGCTTGCAGGTCTGTAGTTCAGATACAGTTCGCTTGTCAGATGGATGGCTTCTGCAACTGAATTACGTCTGTTTCATTACCATCCCAGCCACAGACACAGCTCAGATGCAGTGGCCTTTCTCAAGGATGGGAGCTATTTTTAGTTAGGGAAATGGGAATATCCAAATAGCCAGAGGTTTATTTTAGTGCACTGTAACTACTGAAAGAGCTCTGAGGAATCTTCGTGTTTCTCTAAGATCTACAGCTTTGTTCAGTTAAGGCTCCAGGAAGGGGGCTGTGTCATTTCAGCCACTTGGGATTCATTTGTGGAAACACAGCAGCTTGTGCTGGCTTTCATCCAGCTTTGCTGCTGGCAAAACATGTCTCTGCGCTCTCTTTGTACTCTCTGCTCCATGACCAAAAGCCTGTTTAGCCAGTTTTTCAAAGTAGTCTTCTGACTCCCTCCTTCCCTCTCAGCACATTTTCCCTGAGAAATGTTTTGTGTTTCGTGGAGGTAAATGTATAGAACAGCTTGTTTAATTTTTTCTCTTTTCTCTGCTTGATTTTTAATCTGTGTATCGAATTATTGAACACGTTCCTTTAAATATTTAAGAGTGATTCATCAGAACTCTAGCACAAACTGAGCGGCGGAACCATGAGGGGTGGAGGATGATGCCTGTACACTGTGCTTCCTGCAGTGAGGACTGGTTGCGAGATGCAAACAGCGATAATTAGCGCTCTTTAACTCAGTTACTACAAAATGACTAGGTGAACAGGGAAGACAAGAGGGTGTGTGAGCTTGGGGGAAACCTGAATGTGGGGCAGCGCTGTGGAGAGCAGGACGAAGGGGGATGACAGGAGGTAAATAGCTGAGATGGTTTTTCTAAGTGGAGTTGAGGGAATGTGGGTGGAGTTTACAAAATGGTTGAACTGTGGACAAGTTGTTGAAGGTGTGAGAGAAAATTGTAATGTAAATCTGGCACTGGTCTTAACGTGTTTTTATCTTGCTGTATTTGGTGTACGAACGTTGCAGGTTGTGTTCTGAGGTGCTGCCTGAAATTTGTAGCGTGAAAAAGGAGGCTCAAGTGGCCTTTCAGCTGAAGCTTGTAATCACTGAACTTGTATTTACAAAGCTGCATTAAAATGTATGTGCAATAGTTGCTTTAACTCCTGAACGTGTGTGATAGACTTTATCTGTCTTCTCAGTTGTATGGGAAACACAAAAGAAAAAAGATTAATATTTCAGTGCAACAGTCTTGATTTGTTTATTTTTACCAATGTATTTAATACTGTTTGGTCTAAGTGCTTCCTCTCTTATCCAAACATTTTTTCCTTTTTATTTTCTAATTTGAAGACTTTTTGAGAGCAATTTGCTTTACAAATAAATAGGAGTTTCCACTCCTGCATTTCCTGCTTCACTTCTTGATTCTGATCAGAGCAGCTCTCCAATTGCACTTGAGTTATATGGCCTTCTGTGCACCTTCAGAAGCATAAGGTGCAAGGTTGGAGATCTAGGAGTGTTTTGTAATTGCTCTACAGTAAGGCTCTGCTTTGCTTTGGCAAGAGCTCCTGTACATCTTCTGGAGGCTAATGCCTACTTCCATTTCCAATCCTTTCTTACAAATATTTGCTTTTTACTGTGCCTAGAAGTTAAAACAGGAGAAAGATGTTGCATTTAGTAAGAAGGCAATTCTCATTGTATTTGTTATAGTGAGAATATTTGTTGCTGCCCCATAACAGCGTTTCTGAAGTGGTTCTTTTTGAGCTCTGGCATTTTCTTCTTTTTCTGGTGTTTACACATCTGTTGAGGTATTTAGAGCACTCTTGGAGCTCAGTTTTCTGACTTTAAATCATTCCTAAACAATGACTTGCTTTACAGCCTCAGGTTGTCCAAGCCTTCAGCTCATGGTGGGAACCTGGGCTACCAGTCAGGAGGAAACTGGCATTCTGGTCTGCAAGAATGTCTTGTGGTTTGTTTGTTTGCTTTGATAGTGTGCAAAGAATTGCTTTGGAAAGGATTAGAGGAGATATTTCACCCTTTAAAAAGTTTCAATTATCTTCTGTTTTTATATAAAATGAAGTTATTTAATATCACATATATATACTTACCAGGGCTGCTCTGACAGTAATGCCTCCTATTTTATCATGTTGGCTTGAACCTTTCCACTGATATTCTGTTACGCTGTGTTGCTGTGCGACAGATGGCAGCAGAGGGGCAGTCTGATGGAATGGTTTCTGACATGGGAAGTGTGAAGAAACCAAAGGTGTGTTGCTGAATTCCTCCTCCAGATGGAAAATAAATGGCACCCACTGACATTCACTGATACTTGCTGAACATGTGTGGAGACCAAACAGTGGATGTGAGCAAAGGGAGGCAGTGGGTGATGTTTCAGCAGTGTTGACAGTAACAGTGGGTCACCTCTGCTACTGTAGGATTTTGAGTGTGGTAAGCAGGCTCCCGGTCATTGCTGGTGAGAATGCTAATGGTGGTGACTATGTTGATAAACAATGTTTTGTAGCTGACAGTTTGCTCTACCAAGTACTGTTATTGCCCTCTTTTTATCTGTTGTAGTTTCCATGGGAATAAATAGGAGGCATTACTTTCAGTGTGACCTACATACAGAGATATGTAGATACATCTTCAAATTATATCTTTATTATCTTTAAATTAGGCAAGCTGCACAAGATGCTGATGTAAGTAGCTTTCCTTACTCACTTCTGTCCCCAGTTCTCTGTCTGGGGACATGCAATAGCTGTCACTACAGTGTTTCTGAACTCAGACTGGCAGAAGAACACGAGCTAGCTGTCCAAGCCTAAAAAGTGATTCTATGGTTCTATGATTCTAAGTGGACCCATGTTGGGTTTAAGCAGTTACTTCAAATTAAAGCCTGGGTAATCTTGTCTTTGCTGCTACCACTGTGTCTAATGTAAGATTTCTCCCTTGTGAGACTTACCTTTGGGACATAATTGCTATGTTTGTTCAAAGTTATTGTGTCGCTGTGAGAGCAGATCATTAGGCTGTTGTCTTTAGAAAGCAGAGACTGTAACTATGTACAGTGTTGCATGTGTTGATAATAAAACAAACCAGCTGTTATTTTCCACATACACAGATTAAAAGACAATATATTTATATCTTTGCAGTTACAGATTTGTTCTTATTTAAAGGAGAGGTGTTTTTCTGCTGTAGGTTATAGCTGAGAGCAGTGGGTGGCTGCTACTGCATCATGATTAGTTATTTCTTTGTTTGTGATGTGATGCTTTCCTGGGAGTGAGTAGCATCAAGAGGGAAGCTTAGAATAATTATATTTGTCACCTTGAATGTTAGTTAACAAGCTCCTTTGTACAGATTTCATATATGTAGAAACTATACTGTGTTAGTTACCAATTAGGAACAGGGAATTTAATCCTGATATGGGCTAATAAAAGGCCAGAAGCTGTTATCCAAGGATGGAAAATAGTACTGAGTGAGACAGATGCAGCCCTTTCCTCTTGAGGATTGACCTTTTTGGGGATAATCCATTCTACATGGAATAACTTGATTTTAGCTCACAATTTCAGTTCTTAAGGCATCAGACCAAAGTTTGTTTGTTTTTCCTAGCATATAACTTTTGAAACAGTAAATTGTGATGGGTTGGATTTTGTTTTGTTTTGAAGTTTAATTTAAAGCAAAATATGGAGGATATAACTGTTGTCAAAGGTGTCGTAGGTTAAGAAAGATTGTCATACAGTTAGTATTCTGATTGATCTTGGAGGGATTTTTTCCTTTAAAACACTGCACAGCAATTTTTAATTATTAGTTCGGATTTTGAAGCTTACTATTACAACACCACTTCCTTTATATGATCACTAAATTCTTCCTAGTTGTCCTTTTTGTCTTATTGCTGGTGTTCTTGATGGATTTGCAGAATATAAAATGTTTTTTGTCTGCATTTTACTTAGGAGCACACGTCTGTTCTATATCATTTTTTTTCAAAAGTTATGAATTATTGAACTTTTTACCTTTCTAAAAAAAGAGTTTTTATAGTTACTGCTTGTTTTATTGCATTACGTGTGTCAGTCAGTAAATGCAAGTTATCTCTTTTTCAGTTTATTCAGCTGGTATCCAGTGATTTGAAAGTATTTGGAAGGAACTCTTACACCCTTTGCAGTGATGGCCAGTTACTCATTCGACAAGTCCTCCACCCAGAAACATCTAAGAAGGTATGAGATCAGAACTGACATAAAAGAGCACTACTGTGTTTAACTATATTCTCTGATGTCCTTCATCCGAGTTTGAGATGAGCAACACAGTTCCACCCTGGGAACTGTAGTGCTCCAGGAATACTTCTGATGATCCTCACCTTGTAGACTATTACTGTATTTCAACGCTTATTCTGGAAAATCAGCTAGAGCACTAGAGGACAGCCAGAGAAGCATTATGAAGAAGAAAATAAGGAAAGACAAGTTAGAAGAAAAACTACAAGTTGCCTGTATTCTGTGTTGTAGGGCATGATTACAAAGGTCTGACCTCAGTGGACGTGATAGAAGTGTTCCTCTGTTTAGGTTTGAATTAAGTCACTGGTCGCTAGCAGGGTTATGTGTTTGTACCAAACCTGAAGTTGGTGGGACCATATGTCAGTGTCCTGTAGAAAGTAAATGTGCAGGCAGTGACTTGGCCTGGAGAATGGCAATTGTTTCCCGTCTGTATTTATTCAGCAGAATGCAGTACTACAGCTTATTTGCTACTCCCACACAAAGCAGCAGTTCCCAATCAAGCCTGATTTGCACAGGAAGAAGCTTGCCATTGTTTGGGGTGGTGGCTGCCGAGTTAACCTGCTTGACAGGGACTGAAGAAATCCCACAGGAATGGGAGCAGCTGACATTGGAGTTGATCAGCTGTGTTTTTTTTCTTCTCTGTATAGGTGTACTGGTCATGCTGAGTTTTTACAAATACTTGTTTGGCATTTGTGTTGTATTATAAATCATATCATTGTGACTTTTCATAAAAACACATGCTTTTGTGGGAATGAAACACGGAAACAATGATATTCAGTGTTCAAATGTGTTAGCATTGTTTGTTTCTCTTTTAATATGCCATCCTGCTGTATGGATTGTGGGTAATTCTTTATATTTCTGTCTTGACACAAATGAACTAAAGCAAGACAAACAAAAAAAATATCCTGGAACTGGAACTGCCCATACCTGATCAAGCAATGGACTTGATGACATTCTTAATCTTCCAGTACTGCATTTCTTTCTTTTCTCTCTCTCTTTTTTTTTTTTTTTTTTTTTTTCTTCAATACATTTTCATTTGCTGCAGTTTAATTTTTCCTGAACACTAAGTATTATTAAGCCTCAGAAGCTGGTTCTTGCAATTGCTAACAAGGGCTGCTTTGTGATTTTTCTCAATTATTTTCAGAGCAAAGGCAAACTTCCATATAGTGAAACAGTTGGGGAGAGTAAAAGAGAAATTATTAGCAGAACTTGTTCTGGGCTATAACATGGGGACAGGAGCCAATGTTCAAATGAAAGAATGCTTAAATATTTGTGTAATAATGTTATATAACTGAAGTTGTTATCAAATATGTAATAGTGAAGAAGGAATGTCTTTAAGTTTGTGAAGATATTTTCTACATTGTGACAATATTGATACGTACTGTTACCATGTCTCAGTACTATATTGCTTTTAAATGTTGCCTCAAAAGAGGAAATAGCAGTGTCCTAATGGGAAGAATATATATAGCAGGAAAAACAATTTTGGAGGGTTTTGTGACTTTTCCTAGATGTGGAGGTGTTTTGCATAGGCCTACCTCTCAGCAGCTACTTGGGTGTGCTCATGTAGAGAGAGAATTCTGCAAGACTGCAGTGTCTGAACTGTTCAAAAGGGGGAAAAAATCCAACCTGGTCTATCTTAGACAGGCTGATGACATGCAACTATGTAGCTCTTGAGATGGCATCATTCAGTCCAGAAATACTGATTAGAGTGTGAAGGAATGTGTACAATGCTTTTTTTGCTTTCCTTGTAGAATTTCCTGCTCTCAGAATGCTTCTATTCCTTTTATGATCTGCGCAAAGAATTTCACACGTGCTACCCTAGTTCAGCCGCCGTGAAAGACCAGACAATCAAGACCATGGCAGAATGTATCCTTTTGCTGCAGTTTTTGCAACAGAATTGATTCCTCTTTTTTAGGTTTTATTCTTGTGATTGTTATGGGTTTTATTCTCCTAAATTAAGATGGGTTTTAAAAAGTCTCATGGCTGTAAAATCAAATTAACGTTTGCTGAAGTGTGTGTGTGTGTGTGTGTGTGTGTGTGTGAGAGAGTCTGTTTGTAATGGTTTTTAATCTTTGTCTCTAGTAATGGAATCTAGACCATATTTAGTAAATTACTAAGGTGCACACCAACACTAAAATAAAACCATCCCTTGCATGTGTATTTGATCTTAATGGAGAAAGGTTTAGCTATCGGTGGGCCTTTTCAGAGCTAGATGGCCTGCAAATTTCCAATGTTTGCAGACAATTATTATTCTTTGATTCTGTTTTGTGTAAAACAAAAAACTAATTGAAAAAATGGACAAAATAAACCACTTCTATGTCTAAATTTTAGGAGTAATTCTGTGGCTCCAGAAGAATGTGGTTAAAGTTCAATTATATTTGAAGTGATAGGAATTTATTCTACTTCTTTTGAGCTGTTAACACTATCAGTAGTTCTCAGAATGTTGACTGTGAAAGTGAATATTAACCAGTTTGTGAGCACAGTCACAAATGCCTGATGGCCATGTGTCCCTGTGAAGGCTGGTATCACTTGATTATCAATTTTTTGTTAATAACAGGAAAGCCTATGGCTTGTTTACGACTATTTGTTCAAGTCTGTTATTTTCTCTAATTGCCTGTTCAGATCTAGGCTTAGGGACAGATGAAGCAGAGGAGGACTTTGGCGTGTGGCAAGTAAAAACAATGGTGGCTATCATTTTCAGCATGCTCTCTGAAAATTGCGGTAAGTGATCTATTTACACAGAATGCTGAAATTTTTTCTTTCTTGATGAATGGCCAGTGGAACTGTCATTCTTAAGTAACCTCTGACCCTGGTTATGTTTAAACTTCCCGCTTTGTTGCAGATCACATATTTACTGACCCTGAAACTGTGAAATACAAGTACGAAACAGGTCCTTGGTAAGTGCCTTTGTCACAGTTCATTACAACCAAAGCTGAGTCTCATCTGCAGCAGAGAAAGCTTGCAAGTGTTTCCCTGCTGTCACTATGGAAGTAGGTTGGATCCTGAGAAGAGTAGGTGTATTCAGTAATCTGGTGCACAGACCATAGCTAGTGTACTGAATTCTGTGTTTTACTCTGCCTTTCAAGCCACAGCAGGTGGAACACTGTTCACTGGTTTCTGTTTTGAATGGGAATGAGGTTGACTTATCCTAACCAATCGTGAAAAAATATTTGTGAACGCTCCCTGTGTCAACAGGGGTTTGTGCACTCTGTATGGAGCTGAGCTATGTAATACTTTTGAAGAATTACCTATGAAGCTGTAGCTGAAGCAAATGAGAAGAAAATCATTTCGAGAGACTGCTTAAGGGGTTTTTCTGTCTGACAGAAGCATAACTTACGCTTTTGTGAAAGCCTTGATGTCTAGCCAAAGAGTACCTGGATATATTTTTATATTTTCAGTTTGTTCTTTGTTCGAGTGTCAAAATGGAAGCTATTGACTAAAAGAAATGTTCCTTACCCAACTTCGGGTGTTTTTTCTGTTCTGCCTCTTCAGAGGCTCATCAAAATGGGCATTTCCCTGTACCATATTTTGATTTGAATTACAACTTTGGAGGCATTTTGACTGTATACAGGTCTCTTGTTGTGGGTTGTTTTCTAGACAGACAGCTCTACTTTTCTGCAATCTTTTTTCCTCCTTTTTTTTTTCCGATTTAAATTGAATTTGGCTTAGGCCGACAACAAACAGAGCAGTTCTCAGTTTTCAAATATACTTCATGAACTGTAGAATCAGATATACTAAGCATAAATAATTCACATTTAGGACTGCTTCATAATCATCTACAATGATTTCAGGATTTAGGATAAAACCTGAAGATTGTTAGAACTTCTGAATAAAATTTGGAAGCTCCTTATTACTTCAGTTTGAGACATTTCTTTTTTTTCTTAAAGAACTGGATGTGATGACAACACACCTTGGGCATTGTGTATCTGAAGGGATTATCCCAGTTATCTTTGTTTTCTTTACTAAAATGAGCAGAATTGAAGAATCTCAACGATGAGTATACTCTAGATTTTCAATTTAAATGGAAATTTGATAAGATAATGGGAAACCTAGACAAAAGCTTAATTTTACATATTTATTTTTCTTTCTGTGCAGCAGCAAATCAGAAACAGTGGATAGTGAGACGGTAATACGTGCTAGAGGTTTGCCATGGCAGTCTTCAGACCAAGATATTGCCCGATTCTTCAAAGGGCTCAATATTGCCAAGTAAGAAGACAAAAACTTGTTTTGCCTTTATCGCTTTCTTTAACATCGTGTGTGTTTAATATTTAGTGCACTCTCTCTCAGAAGTCCATGCTAATGTTTCCCCTGCGTGGAAGCTGAGAAAGTGACAAACGGCGTGAGATCCAACATCACACTGCTTAATTTGTTGGCTTTACGTTCCAGAGGTGGCGTGGCCCTTTGTCTGAATGCTCAAGGAAGAAGAAATGGTGAAGCATTAGTTCGATTTGTCAATTCTGAACAGAGAGATCTGGCACTGGAAAGACATAAGCATCACATGGGTAGCAGATACATTGAGGTAAGAAGTAGCAACTTGAAACAAATATTTGAAAAGCAATCTAAATATTTTAGAGTATGATTTTAAAGAACAAGGTGTGCTCCTAAGTTGCTCAAAGTAAGCAAAATACACTGCCTCACACACGAAAGAGTTGAATGTTGTAATTTTCATGGTTTCTTTTTTCTTTAAGGTTTACAAAGCAACTGGGGAAGAATTCTTAAAAATTGCAGGAGGTAAGTGATCATGGAGCTCAGTGTTACTTTCATTAAATTGTTATAGTTCTGATTTTTCTGTTGGCTGAGGGCATAAGTAATTCCTGAGGTAGCTTTTCCTGCTTTGCTGTCTAAGATTCCTTGACCCTGTGAAACTTTGCTTTCATTTGGTTGACTTATAGCTGTGAGCGTTTGGACTGTGATGTTAGCAGGCTCAGTTTGCTGAGAGGAAGAGGAGCCTTTGCAGCAGAATTATCTTTGTACCTGACACTAATCTCTTATTTGTTTCAATTTTATTAAAATATGAACAACTTTAGGGATAGAGGGTCCACTTCAAAATAAATCAGTTTGGGAGTAAGTAGTGCTTCTGGTCTTCTGTGGGTTTCTTGCTAGCTACTTACTGCTGTGTTGCTCCTTAATGTGCATCTGCTCCTGTGTCCTATGGAATTGGCTGTCCATACACTGTTCTCTTTGTACTAGGTACCTCCAATGAAGTGGCTCAGTTCTTATCTAAAGAGAATCAAGTTATCATCCGGATGAGAGGTCTTCCATTCACTGCTACTCAGGAGGATGTTTTAGGATTCCTGGGGCCAGAGTGTCCAGTCACAGGAGGGAAAGAAGGACTTCTCTTTGTCAAGTACCCAGATGGCAGGCCCACAGGAGATGCATTTGTGTTGTTTTCCTGTGAAGAATATGCACAGAATGCACTTAAAAAGCACAAAGAAATACTTGGGAAGCGTTACATTGAACTCTTCAGGAGCACAGCAGCAGAAGTTCAGCAGGTTGTAACTATTGGCTGTGAAACTCAAAACTTAACAGTTAAAGATTCCTTTCAGTACTTGCACACAAATATCCTGTGGACAACTGTGCGAGTCTGATATACTAAAGATGTTTAGTTCTGGGAAGGGAAATATGCTTACTGATTGGCAAGGAAAATTGTGCAAATGTTTTTTTTTCTTTCTTTTTTACTGTCACGTCCCTCAGATCATAAAGTAATTATTGGATTATTTTAAATAATTAAATCAATTAATTAATTAAAAGAAATTAATTAATCTGGAACCTGAAAAATTATACTAGAAATGTTCAAGATTGTAGTAATTACATGATAGTAATACTTGAAATGCTGCAATATTGTCTTTAAACTTATCTCCAGTGCACAGAATTGAATGCAAAATTTAATCTAGCTACATTAAAATAGCTTTTGCTACAGTTGTTTTGTTGGATGCTAAGAATTAGCTGCAGGTATCTCATGTCTGGCGAAAGGAAGTGAGATGTTTCTCAATCAATTCCAATATTTTTCCTCTTATCTTTCACCAGTTCCTATTGCCATCTTCTTAAACCAGTAAAGCACCAGTTTATTTTGGCACCACCAACTTTGTACTGAATCGCATACTAAATTTCTCTGCCTGACAGAGTATTTCTAGACTAATAATGCCAAAAAGCACTATTATAAGATTTCATCTTGCCTTTGAGAAAACAGTGGCTGTATTTATATAGCCATTTATATATATAATATATTTTTAAAATATATGTGTATATGTATATAATATATTTCTGGCCTGAAATGTGTTTTGAGAATAGATTCTTGAAAAAGAGACTCCTATTGAGAGGAATTCCTTTTGCTGAATTGTTACTGACAAAGCTAAAGATTTGTAATCTCTTTATTTGGTGCCTCTTTCAGTGGAAGGTGTTTCTGATAATCACTGTTAAATACATCTTTCAGCAATAGATCCCAATCATAAGTTGTTCCCTTTGTCACGTGGGATGAGTCAAGAGAAAATAAAATGTTGAGATCAAGGCCTCCTATAGCTCTTACCTTCATTTCAGAAACCCTGTGCCTCAAGATAGTTTTTCTAGTTAAACAAGGGTCTTTGTTTATTAACCTGTTAGCTTTATGAATGAATTAGAGCTAGACTTTTTACTTGTCATTTATTTCAGGTCTCAGTTCTTTTAAATTGGCTGGCTTTAATTTATCCTAATCTAAGAAAAAACTGTAAGTGGCAGTACTGATATATTAGTGAAAATGTTGTTCCCAAATGTTTCTTTTTGGGATGGTCAGAAATGAACTGTTATCTTTTCATGTAGTGAACTTACAAAAGTCTGTTAGTAGAGTCTAGCAGGTTAAATATATCAGATCTGTATTGTCTTCCTTCAGAGTTATGAATTTGAAATGCCCAACAGAAAGCTGCCCACAGAAATTGGTTTTAAGAAAATGTTTTTCTCTGATGTTGGACGTGGATTTATTTAACTGTATGAAATAGCATCGTGGAAACTGATTTGTGCTTAACTAGATGCTGTGTAAATCTCTATCCAAGTGTTTTTTTCCTTACAGGTACTTAATCGATACATGTCAACGCCTCTTATTCCCACCCTCCCAACTCCCATCATTCCTGTTATACCCCCACCATATACAATTGCCACGGGTAGCATACGGGACTGTGTCCGGCTTAGAGGCCTTCCTTACACTGCTGGCATTGATGATATCCTGGACTTCATGGGAGATGCCACAGCTGATATAAAGCCTCATGGAGTTCACATGGTCCTTAATCAACAGGTAACAGCACTGCATGAAAGCTAAGTTATTGAAGATGTTATTTCCAGTTATTGGAGATGGTTAGAAGTCATGGTACCCTACCTATTATTTGCTATGCCTTAGGTCTTCTATAATTTTGAGAAAATACTTCAATATATGTCTTTTCTTCTCCCACATTGTGCCCTCCCTTCTACGTACATATCTGTGTTTCTTTCTGTACATGTAGGCTTAAGGTAGGGGAGGACGATGCTTGTGGCAGGACTTGTTAACAATAGCTTTGTCTTGGAGGCTGCCTTGAAATAGTCCTTTGTGTTTCAGACAAGTTCTGGAAATACACAGAATAGAAATGGCTTTTTTTTTTTTTTTTTTATTCAGTGGTAGCTGCATTGTTTGAGTGGCATTTTTGGACTTCTTTTTCTAACATGATTAAAGACTTACTGGAGTTTAAAGGAAGCTGCTTATTTAACTTATGTTTTGGATATATTTTATTGGTGCAGCTATAAGGATATTTTTTAACTTGTCTTCCTGAGTCAAGAATAAGCACCATTGACCACAGAAACATTGAGATGCTACTCTTTGTGTAAATAAATGAGAGAGATCTACAGCATCTTCATCTCCTGGAGATGTTTGAAATTCAAACAGAAAAGATCACATGTGGGCTGATGTAATGTGAATGTTAGCTCTAGTCTTTTTTCTGCAGAAGGAGGTAGTATTAAGTTAACTGGGTGATGGATACCTGAGTCTTGCCTTTTTGCTTCTAAAAGTAATTATTGACTTATTAGTACTAGATACAGAAGAACAATATGTAAGTAGGTATTTATCTTGGGACTTTTTGCATTTCTTGTGTTCTGAATGGCCAAATTACACATTAGCTTATTGCTTTTTCTTTTCCAAAGGGACGACCATCAGGTGATGCTTTTATCCAAATGAAATCTGCTGACAAAGCCTTTATGGTGGCTCAAAAATGTCACAAAAAAATGATGAAGGACCGTTATGTGGAAGTATTCCAGTGTTCAGGAGAGGAGATGAACTTTGTTTTAATGGGTGGCACTTTAAATCGTAGTGGCTTATCCCCACCGCCATGTAAGTTACCATGTAAGTCTGCATTTCTTCTGCTCTCTGCTGCTAAAGGCTGATATGTGGTAGGTGCTGAAGCTTTGTGGCCTTTCGCCTTTTGACTTGGGTTTTGCCGTGATCAATAATCATTCATCTGTATACATGCTGAGATTGGAGTTGTTCCCTCTGGGCAATAATGGGACTGATTGGAGGCATTTTTTTTATTGAATTTTCGGTGGTGCGTAGAGGGCAGCAAGGCCTTGCCAGTGAAATAGTTGCACACTTTGCTTTTTGTGGGTGTACTGTTCTTCTGAGCTCTGCAGTGGACTTGCTTGTCATGAAATCTACTTGGAATTAGAGGGATTTTTAAAAAGGGAATAATTCTGTATGCTAGCTGTCAATGAGTGTTCTTGCTGTCTTGCCTTAGAGCATTAAGAAGGTACTCTTTGGGTATAGCTAATTATGGTTCTCTTGTCTCACAGAGAACGACTTCTGTTAGAAAGAAGAAAGGGTGTGTTGGTGTGCACGCCTGCTTTCTCTATGCACATGGCTTTATGCTTTCTTTGAATAACTCTGAAGTTCCCTACTTACCATTTACATATAGACAGGGATGCTCAACTGTAGGAGTTGTGAACTCTTAGGAAGAACTCACTTCAAATGCTACAGTTTTCATTCGCGGAAATGCGGCTCAGGGAGAGGCTAGAGAACAGTATTTGTATGTGTTCATAAATCATACCCAGACGTTAAGCTCACTGGGATGAACAAGTCTTTTCTTAAAGCCAGGGATCTGCGTTCTGACTGCTTTTTGTTCTCATATCCTGGTTTGTTTTTAGGTCTTTCTCCACCAGCTTATGCTGCTTTTCAAACAGCAGCTGTGATCCCAGCAGAAGCAGCGCTTTACCAGCCACAAGCCCTCTTGCCAACAGCAAGGACTCCCCAGGCCTCAGCTGCTGCTCCTCCAGCTGTTACCTACTACCCAGCTCAGGCTGCTCAGCTTTATATGAACTACACAGCTTACTATCCCAGGTATCCCCTAGACTCGGCTGCTTCTCTTGTCATTTTATTGCGACAGATTAGGCAGCTGTGTAATTACCTTTCAATAGCTATTTAAATTGTACGTCTCACGTAGATAATGCTGAGAAATTGTTGATCAGTGGAGATATTTTAACTACTCTGTGGCCTTTTAATGATGCTCACTCTTCTCCATAGGATCTGGTTGAACCTCGCAATAATGTAATTCTAATGTTTAGCAGCATTTTTGGCACTGATGTGATGTCATCAAGACAGTTCTGTTTCTTGGCTAAATATGAAGCCATGCCTCTACTGTCTTCTCTTAGCTTGATGTTGTACTTACAATACTGTTTTCATACTGAAAGGCTTATAATAGATATGTACTAGCTTAAATGTCTTATATCCATGAGACCAAAAAATACTTTGTTTGTATACAGAGCAAATTATCTCCGCCTTTCTTCCCTCACTGATGTTATCAAGATGGTTCACTGTAGCCTGGTGGTTGGATCTGTGGGGAAATAGTTTATTGGCTCTTCCTAGGCTCATGACAATAGCCTGAGTACGTGGTAACTTGTCAGATGGGCCTTGAATGGAGATGCTGCTTTACTCACTTTTTGTGGCTTAAAAGCACCAGATTTTTTCCCTTGATCTTCGTTCTACAATTTTTCTCCCATGCTTTCTTCATGCTTTTGTTAATGATCTTAGAAGAAGTCATCTGCAGCTCATTTTTCTCCTCCCCAGTGGAACATCTGCTTTTTTTACCTTATCAACTACAAATGCTGGCTGTTTTCCTCTATGTCCCTTCTGCAAGTCATCAAATGCTGAAGAGAAGTTGGAAAAATTGACAAAGTTTCTGTATCAAAGCTGCTTGTTACCTTTTTTTTTTTTTTTAACCTTATTCTTATATTTGAACTTTCAGTTTTTCTCTGCCTGCTAAAATCAGTTATTTCTTTTGATAACAATTTTGCCTCTTCTCTCTTATAGTCCTCCAGTATCCCCTACCACAGTGGGATATCTTACAGCTCCTCCAGGAGCTGTAGCTGCTGCTGCCACTGCCACCCACACTCCACTTCTACCCCAGCCTGGAGCATTAGTCCGAATGCAGGGTTTGCCGTATAACACAGGAATGAAGGAGATTCTAAGTTTCTTCCAGGGATACCAGGTTAGTGTGAAGTCACTCTCCCTCCCTGATGTTTTATTTACACCTTTAAGTAATGATCACACCAAGCAAGACTGCTTTTGGAAATCTATCAACAAGTATACAATTTCAGCGTTCCCTATTTAATTGACAGACAGTAGTAGTAAAATTTGCTCTATTTTTTATGTAATAAACACAACTGAATTTGAAGGCAGTGATCTAGTGCTCACATGAAAGACTTGTTAAAGACTGCTCAGAACAAAGTTCTAGTTAACAGGCTGCGATGCAAGTCGCCACACCCAGGTTACAAAAGAGGAAAGATGCCAGTGTCAGACTCTTGCTTGGGCCATTTGTTTTGCTTGTAGGCAGCAACACATGCCTATAAGCAAAATAAACACATTTGCATTACAGCTATTCCAACTGCATTACACTGCAACCTGAAGAGAACTGTATTCTCCAACGCAGGTTGTACTGATAGCAAGTATGCGAAGTGCTGCTATAGGTAATTTCAGTCAGTACCTGCTGCTTCAATACTGTATCAGCAGGAAAGCATAGATATTCATCTCCTAGAGTAAAAAAAAAAAAAAAAAAAAAAAAAAAAAACTACTACCATGTGCAAAGACTTTTTTTTTCAGCAGTCTATATTTGAATTTGTGGAATGGGTCTTTCCATGTCATCTTCTTTTGATCTTGGAGGATATTGTATCTACATATACCTATGTTTTGTCATCAGATATTTACTAAAATGGAAGATAATTGAGTGTGGTGTGTATTCTGATGAGTATTTATCTTGTTTGGGTGACAGCATTTGTACAAATACCAGAGCTTTCCTTTGGTACTACTCAGAAGACCTGACTTAGAATCTACTTGGTGTGTCTCGAGCACCTGTTAAGTGGTATTCATAAAAAGAATGCAATTTTTGCATGAGTTTGTCTTAGAAAATTCAGTAGGTTGGTGAACAGTGGTATTGTTAAAGGCTGGAATTGTTTTGTTTTGTTGAGCATATTTGTTTAGCAGTTAACATGAAACATTCAGGCATGATATTTTTTTTTCATCCTGAAGGGCAGTAGGCATTAGTTTGTAGAACCAGGTATTTGCTATGCAAATGTATGCAGAATATGAACAGGTACTTAAATATATACGTCCTCAGTTTTAAGTATTTGGAAGATACGTGCCTCTTGAGGCATCTCTTAAAATGTTACAGTTATGTTCACAAATAATTTTGCATACATGCTTTTTTCAGTGGAAAAATGTGAGGGTCAATTTGTAACAGGTGTGCTGAATTTTTGACACGCTAAGAACGTGCTAAACTTAGTTGTATCTTTAAGGATTTTTCTTCAACAGAGCATCTACAGAGTTAAAACTAAATCAGATGTTTATGGATTTATTCCCTTTTCTCTCCCCCTTCTTACACCTCTTCCCCAACAGAGCGATAATAATTTGTTTCTTATCTGTTGATACTTCACTCTTTTTCACCTGACTGGGTTTTTTTGATGGATAGACAGTGGCTGAATTAAAACCTTAAGTGAGGACTGTCTTGTTTTCTAAACTGAAATTCAGCCAGAAGTGTAAGTGTGCTGTTGAAAAAGGACATGGTCCTATCCTGGGAATGGAGCAAGTCGGTGACTTCCAATATCTTCATCCACTACATCTTCAATTTAGTGAAGCTGGGCTTTGGGTCTGGTACTGCATTTGACCTTGTACTTTTTTCTGCATTTAGAGATTAGCTTGTAGCATTTGATTGCACACTTAAATGTTTGAAACTAATAGAAATTTTACCACAATGTGAAAGCAATTTATATTCTTCTGCTGCAACCTTGTGTCGTCATCAGTTACTTTATTAAATTGGTCACCTCTTTGATTTCTTTAGAAGATGTTGTCCAAATGAGGTCGGGTTCAATATCTTAAAGGAGCCAAGGAGTTATTTTGAATTGTTCTTGGATCCCACATGTGGTAATGCTAGTTTTATAATCCCTCATTCCTTTAGGGGAAAACTGAGGTGGTGACTTGCTTTACTGGGACAATATTGAGTCTCTGGAGGAAATACTAATTTTCTTTTTTTTTTTTTCCTTCTCCTCCTCATGTTATGTATTTCACTTACTGCTGCTGCCCAAGGATGTATTGCTCGATGCTTCTGGTCACTTATAAAGTGAGCCCTTAATAATTGTCAGTGTTCTGGGCGTGGTTTTAATCTCTGCCTAACTAATTGATGTTGGTATTCAATGGGCTTGGGAAACAGATTGGAGAAGCTGAAATTGGAGGGTGATTTTTTTTCTCTTTGTCTGAAAGGAACAAGTTTTAAGTTTGAGTTCCTGCTTTATGCTCTGTTTTCTTCCTTCAGTCTTCATGGGCTCCATATATTGCATGTATGCACACGTTGCTACTGAAGTGAAAACACCTTCTGTACCAGACCTGCCTCATAAAAGACAGACTTTGTGTATAATGGGCTTCAACAAGCTGGTCTCAACATCAGTACATGCTTCTAATAGTAAATAACGTAAACATCTGCAGATCAGCATTTTATCACTTATTTCCATTTTCAATTATTTTATCAGCACAGTTCTCTTGTTGAGTGGTTCACATAGCTCAATTTCTTCCTATAGTTACGCTTTTTTTGTTATTTTTACCATTGAAAATTCCTCCCAGCTTGCATGTGTTTAATGCATTTTGCATTAAACACAATCTTAGAAAGCTTGTGAATAATCTTAATAGCGAATCTTGGAGATAGTAACTTTCCCAGTCACCTTTCTGTATGATGTTGTAGTGCACTGTAACATTTAAAATAGCCAGTATTAAAACTTTCTGATTTAGTAATTACTCTGTTAAACTGTTGTTTGTTTTTTCTAAGTTGTGTTCTGTTGTAGCTGGGCCAGTGATTTCACTCCAGTCATGTACAGGATTTGTAGCTAAAAGATGCTTTAAGAGGGGAAGATAATTAACAACAAAAAAAAGTGTTTATAATTAAAAGTGGACAGCGGTTCTTTAAAAATGTAGTGGGCTTACATGCCTTTTATCTGCAGCTGTATAGAACTTGCAGTGTGTTAATCCTCCAACTCTTTAGGGACCCAAAATTCAAGACTTGCTGGAGTAGGAAGTTGTACTTAAAACCTTAGTAAGGAGTTAGAAGGGGAAGGATGGATGGCTAAATTCCAAGAGCATTAACGACCTTTCTCCCTTGTATCAGGACAGCAGGCTTCATTGTTACAGACTTCTTAAGGACTAGTTCTTTTTCTCTGAAATGCATGTTTGAACAAAGAACTATTCTCTCTTTCCATTGGGTTCCTTTTGAAATCTGATGCTCCATAGTCAGAGATGGATAGCCACTGTCTGTGTGCCTGTTCTTGGCGCAGCACCTTTGGTCCAGGGAAGGGAATAAGGGGATATGATGGAGAAATCCCACTTACTGTTGCTTTGTTCCTAAATTTATCTTCTTTCTGAAACTTTGTTCTTGTAGGTAAAGCCTCTGTGAGCATGGGACTAGTAAATTAGTGGTTACAGTTTCTGTCAGTTGCCTCCTGCGTTTGATGCAGCAAAGTAAGGCAGTACTCCAAGCTGTGATTTTCATAATCTCTTTAAGGACAGAGGTGTTTGTTGTTGTTTTTTTAATATACATCTGCCACTTAATATTATTGAAGATTATTATAATACATACTATTTAATATTATAGTGTTATTTAATATACATGAGTTGAAATGCCTCTGCCAATTCAAATGTTAATACCTAGAAGGGTAGATACACTTGTACAATAATTCACTGGCTCTATTAAGAAACAACACATTCTTCAGCAAGCATTGTTTTGCTTTACTTTTGACAATGTCCCTGTTTTTCAGTCCCTTTTGTTCAGTATGTATGCATATTCCTTCTGCCATCGTGCATCCCCCTGTCCCCGCTGAGTGGGTGTGGGGGAGAAATTGCTTGCTTCTGAATCACAGGATCATTTAGGATGGAGGGGAACTCTTCACATCAACTTCAGCCCAGCCCTTGAAGAGCCATGGGCTCAGAAGGTGAAAAGGCAGCAGTCTGAGGAAAGAAGCTGTGTTTCAGTTCAGAGAAGCAAAGAAGGTGGGACTGAGATGATAAGGAGGATACTGGAGACTGGAACAATGAGATATGCTTATAATTTTATTGCATTTAAAGGCAACTATTGCAGTATTTCTTATTGATTGTTTGTCTGTTAAGGGTAGAGTTCAAAAATACAGTATGAAGTTTCATATTGTCTCAGTAATATTTATGGCAAGCAAGCTCTAGAACCTAGCTCAGTGAAGTTGCAACTAGTCGTACGAGGCATTAAATCACTGGGTGGAATTTCTCAGATCTAAATGGAAGCAGAATTTGGCCATCAGCAGAACAGTATTTTCATTTGGAGCACTGGGATTATAGATTCAGCCTGGATTTTACACTGTCCATCCTGAGTTGTTTGATGTTTTTATTTTGCATGGGTTTCTGAATTGTGAACAGAATCAGAAGTATTCATGATTGTGTTTTTAATCAGGCAAACTAAGGTCGTTTCTATTTCATTCACATGTTTTTGTTCCCCCACTTCTTTTTCCTGTCTTTGTTTGCAATAGTTCTTTTTGTGTAACCTGTAAATTTGAATAATTTACTATTCCATAACTTATGCTTTAATTAAATGCAATCTCACTTTCACTTGCTGTGATTGAAAGCTACTTCTATCATTAGGTATTTTTATTTCCATTTTCTTTTTCAGGCCTATGGCTAGGCCTAAGCTACAACTTCCATGTTTCTTTGCTGGGTAATTTTCCTACTTTCATGTTTTCCTCATTGCTTGTGTTTTGAACACTTGCCCTCAGTAGAAATTGTAGACCTTTACTTACTATACATCTACTGATAATCTAAAGTATGTACTATCTTGAGACATTCTTTCCAAAGAGTAAACTTACATTTTGTAGATTTGTTTCAAGGGCAGGTCTGGGAACTGATAAATCTAATATTTGCACGTTCTGGTTGCCCTGGCAGAGACTATCTGGAAAATACTTCTTACATTTGTCTTTTACTTACTGGCATGGTTCTAGATGTAAGAGGTGGCTAGAAATAGTAGTAAAAATTCTGAGAGTCTCTTTTCTTTTTTGTTCTCTGGGCTCTTGGTTTTTGTTCTCTGTGGAAGGTGTATATTGTGATGGTTGATTTGGTTTTGTTTTTTTTCTTCAGCTTCGCTTTGGATGAATACAATGTGTATTGTACACCCAAGTATAGTATCATTTCCTCCCTAAGCTGGCAGGAGACTTCTTGTATTATAGAAATATCAAAGAAAGCAGTATGTGTACTTTGTGTGCATTTGGCAATCTTCTAAAAATATTAATTCAAAACCATTTTCGGGGATGTAGAAAACTCTCCTTGCCACTGAAAGGTTGTTCTGTAACTTGAGTTGTGGTAGACATTGTCATCTGGGTTACAGGAACCACTCCAGTAGCGTTTGTACCATGTGCAAGTATGCTCAGTCCTTTTCCAGGATATGTCAGTTTGGAGACAATGAGAGACGTGCAAAACAATGTTCCATGTTTCCCAAGATAATCTTTCTGATCATAGATCTCATATTTGTACCAGGCTCCCCGGCAGTGTGCATGATAACTGTTCAGATTCAGGATCTCAAATATTTCTTAAATAAAACCCACATATGTGGGGGTTTTATCTTCTATTCATTGGTGTGACTGTACTGTGCAGTCAGTGTTTTTATTAGAAATATTCTACAAGTCTATTGTGATGCAGTTAACCTGAGTAGCTTTTCTTTTCTTACGTGGAAATAAGCTATATTAGTATAAATGCCTTCAAAAAAATCTATTAAGTACATTCATGCTGGGACATCGTTTTTGATTGACTTTGTTGATGTCAAGTCTGTATAATGCAAGTATTTTATACAGCTGAAGTGTGTTTAGCACTCTGCACTAAGGAAACTGCAGATTATTTCCATGACTGCATAGAAGATCTGAATGAGATCTGTACACTTCTAATCCCAGTATGCACGCTGAAAGATGCTTAGCTGTCCCAGTGAGAGTCATTTCTGGAGCATGATTGTGCAGACTTAAAATATTTGTTAACTAATGCTACTGTCTCACGAGTACAAGTTGAAAAGGAATACTTCATGGTCTAAACTGTTTCCTTTTGTTAATTAGGAGCAGCTCAGATACACAGTTCAGAATATTCCCCACGTGCTTATACTTCAATTCCATTTTTACAACCAGTAATTCAGTTGATGGTTGTTTTTCAATCTTGCTTTAAAATAGCATCTGTCAAATTCACTGTCTCCTGCCAGTTGTTATAGCTAATGCTCTTAATTGTGGTTGCAAATGATAGTCTGTGTGGCTTGCTGTACCAGAACTGTTCCTTCTCTTGCTGATTATCATATGTCACACTTGTACTATAGTATGCACCTGATGACTACAATGGCCTTATTCAGCTGAGCGAACAAGCAAGGAGTGTGTTACAAGCACCGAAAGAGTGGGTCTGTTTGTAACTCTTTGTAACTTCCAAAGAAGGTAAGATGCAACTCGAAGCAACTGGATCTCCAATGGTGTATGGGAAGCTAAAGCAGGGTTTCTTGATGCAGTTTTTGTTTTCTTTCCCCTTTCTTAGCTTGCGTCGGGATCCTTGCTTTAATCTTTTGCTTTTGTCCTATTAAAAAAAAAAAAATCTACTAACCTAAGCAAAAAGGCCAATCATGATCTGTAATTGGTGGAGTAGCTGTGGTGAGATTGCCTGGTTTTGCTCAGATAGTGTGTTAGCCTTCCAAAAATGTGTTTGTTTTCATGTAAAGCTTTCAGTCCAGTATCTAACATACAGGCAGATGGTCTTTTTTTTTTTTTTTTTTCTTGATGTGACTATAGAATGTGTGCACAAAATTCCCAAACCTCTGGATCTTTTCTCTGCCTCTTGATTTCACTGAAGAAATGTGAACTACTTTTTTTGTTTTTGTTTTTAGGAGAGATTTTTTGGTATAGTGGTTTTCTAATACCACAAACTAATGGCGTACTTTTCAGTACTACCATATACTTTGAAGAGAAATGCCATTGATACTTAGGTGCAATTAATCATTTCTATTGTATTCCATTCAAAATGCTACTGATTAGTTGCTGTGGGATTTTTTTCCCCCTTTTGGAGGGTTTAAAAAAAGTTTCAGTGCAACAAAAGGGTAATCAAATACTTTGCCTTAATAGCAGTATCTTCATGCCCTCCGTAATCAACATAACTACTCTCATATAATCAGCATTTGCTCAGTTGTTTTTGAATTACTTGCTTTATAATGTTACTATTAGATCTGCTAAGGAGAAGCCGGAGCAGAGGCTGTATTTTCTGTGGTATGCAGAATACCTGCTACTACTTGGAGCATTTTTGTGTTTATGTAGTCTTGGACAATCCATTTGTCTCTCTTCATTTACCCAGATTTTCTGGAAAGCCAACCAGCAATAGGGTTCTACTGTGTATTAGATGGAAATGGTCTTTGACTAGAAAAGAAGTTGTAGAGTAGCTCAATGTGAATTCTACATACTTCAAAGATTATAGATAACATTCCTGCTGTCTTCTGTGCTCAGCAGTCTAACTATGCTCCATGTATGTTTTCAACTGATTTTTAACAGCATTATTTAGCTTAAATAGAGGACCAGCAGAAAATGACTTGCTGTTACAAGGATCAGCAGTAAAGAGCTATTTTAGAGCAGACTATCTTATCTCAGATTTGTGCAATTTTTCTCTTTGAGCACAGTGTCATTCTGGAATGAAACTCAATTTAAATCTGAACTGGGCTTCAGACATGATGTTTTGCCTTTGAATTTCTTCCTGCATGCTATTTCTTAACTAACTTTATAAAATGAAATGTGAAGTCTGTGCTAGCTGTCCTTATGCTATGTCCATGCTTTTAGTTTCTAAAATATGTTGTTGCTTCTATCTTTAAGAATAATTTTATTGCCTGCCAAATATTTGGGTTTGTGAAGCTCCAGCATGTGTTACTTTATTTTTCTATGTTTGAATGTAAAGCTGATCAAAAACTTCTTCTGATAATAACTGAAAAATCTAGTATTCATTTCAGACAGTGAGGCATACATGAATTCTATTCAACTTCAGTATTTTGATCCTTCATAAGCTCAGGAGGGCAGATGTCGCATGAACTTAAGTCAGGAAAATACTCCTAAAATGGTTGGCCTTGCAGCATAGCTTGTGTGTTTTGTTTGGCACTGAATTCTGCAACAGACTAATCTTGTATGCTGGGCTTTTTTTGTTTGTTTGTTTTTAATCCTTCAATCTTTTGTTTAGAAATTTCACTCAGATCCATTTCTGTCCAGTGTACAAGTGGGACTTCTGAACTTAACCTGTACAGGTTTCCAGTGCTGTAAGAGATGGCTGGGTACCACAGGGGAGCAGACACATCTGCTTTAAACTCAGCATTTTGAAACTGTCTTCTATATCAGGAACTGCAGGTGCACTCTGCAGTAAATAACTAATTTAATTTGCTATCCTGTCTTTTTCTTAGCTTCCTTAAAATGATTAAAAAGTTTTCCTTGGTTCAGTAAGATTTGGTGCAGTACTTCAGCTTTCTTTCACTGAGAAGTCTTTCTTGCTTTGTAAACCTGGGTTAAGATCAGCGGATCTTCACAACACAGAACTGTAATACATCTGTCTCTTTTTGTAATCTTTGCATGCAAGTCACATGCTGTTACAGCCTTTGTCAGTTGGCCAGTAGTCCACATATTACAAGAATTACCTTCTGAATGCTTGCATTTTCTTGCTCCTTTAATCCTTTATTAACATCTAAGTCTTTCCGGTCAACCTTTAAGCTGAATTACTTCTCTAGCAAAAACTCTGCATGGAATTATGTCTACATCATTCTGTTCAGTACACCAGCAGAGTAGGAGCTGATGCTGAAAGCATATTTCTGTTAATCTTTGGTCTCCTCTCTTTTTTTCTCATTCTTGCATCCAGAATCTCTTCACTGCAAACACAGGAGTGGAATGAACCTGATACAGAGAATGAAAAAACTGCTGTTCCAGATGTCAGCTCTGGTTTTAATAGCACATTTCCTTTTGTCTTTTTGTACCGTTGCAGCTCCACACAGATTCCATCCTCATGCTTTACAACTTTAGTGGCCAGCCCAGTGGAGAGGCATTGGTGACTTTTCCAAGCCTGGATCTAGCTAAGAAAGCAGTGGCTGAGAAAAACGGACAGCTCCTGGGAGGCTGCTGTGTAGAACTGTTGCTGGTCTAACTAAACACACTCTGGGGCATGGGGAAGGAATGTCATGCTGAACACTGTGCCTTTTACAAAATAAGGAGTCTTCCCTTGCCACCCCTGCAGCGTCAAATGTGCCTTTTCAACATGCTGTGTTGGAATGTAGAATGGTACATGTCCTGTATTTAATTTGAAAAAGGGTGTATTGTATGCCAAAGATAAAGCAACAGGAAAATATATGCAGTTAATTTACTTATTCTCTTATGTACTTGTTTGAAAATAAGCAAACCCCTTATTGGCAACTTGTTAATTCTGAAGACAGTCTAATAGCACTTCAGCTGTCGCAGCCATGGGAGGAACCTATTGCCTGTTCAGTAGCATTTGAAGTGGAAAGTGAAGCTTGAGTCATTCAGATTCTTCTGTGTTTAGTTTTTAAGAGTTTACACTTGGCAAAGTGTCTGTTTTTTGTAGAATTGAAATGTCTTTATAAAGGGCTTTTGGAATGTGTAGCATTCCCATCTCAAAGCATATAGCTCATTGATATTTTTTTTTTTTTTTTTTCATGGTTGTTCTTGATTGGAAAATACCAGGATGCTGGATCCCAATACAGTTGTGCTTTCTCATGTTTTCGTTATGTTGTTTTGCAAAAGCCATATTTGTCTTTCCTACCAATGTACTGTTGCCAAATGTGTAAAGCAAAAAATAAAAACAATGGCAAAAACGGAAGAATCCTCTGTGCCCAACCAGAATTCCCTACCCAACCCCAAATTTTTAATCTCTACAGGACAAAAATGGCACATAAACCTGAGTACTAATAAGTTATATTTTTTTATTTAAGCATAATAGCTTTCAAATACTGTATTAAAGATTTTGCTCTAGTTTATGTGCATGCAGTTTGTTTACATCTTTGAACTACTTTATTTGTATATTATGAAACAACAAGATATGTTGAAATCTAAATTCTCTAGTGCATGCTTTTTTCTTTGTGTGTATATACATAAGCTAGAAGAAGTACTTTGTCATGTAGCATGTGTTTAAAAAAAAAAAAGACATCTGCTGTAGAAGCACTAAATGACTTTGTTTTTACCGTGCCTTACTTCAAAACTATTCCAAGTGCAATACCAGCAGAGCAAAACATGAGTCCTTTTGTGACATGTTCATGGATGTCTGGATTGATTTTTTTGTTTCGTTTTGTTAGCGTACAATGCGTTGTACTTAAAGGAACTGAATGATGTATGCTTCTTTATATTACAACAAATAAAAGAGATGCTTACGATGTGTGTTGGTTTCTTAAAGTAACTTACGCTTTAACGTAATCTCACGGGGCATCATTTTCTGATAATAACCTTTTATCTACTCTGTTCACCCCTTGACTTCAGAGAGTGTATGTATTTTGTGAGGGAGTGCGTAGGGGTGTCTTGTTTTTCAAATGTTCTGGTAAGCCAGAAATGTGTGTAGTAAACACTTATTTTTTCAGTGGAACTTTTCTCAGAGGGTGTTGTAACATTTCATATGCTCACTTCTCATTCTGGTGCCAGAAGAAATTGAGTATGGAACCTGAAATCCAAAAGTGCACACAGTTTCCACTGCTGATGGGTCATTCCCTTTTCTGTGCAATCCAAGTGCTGCTTTTTGTTGTGACAGAGCTCAATATAATTTCTGCAGAAAAAAATGAAGAGGGAAACATCTGATTAAGATGGTTCAAATCAAACACACCCAATTATCTCACGGCACAGCTGCTGTCAGCGTTACCACCTCCAGGTGAAGCCTTGCTGCTCACAGCTGTGATGGATGATGCTGTTTGGTGCTCTATGGAGGCTGTTAGCAGCAGGCTCGCTTCAGGCAAATCCTACAACCAGAAACAAATCTGAGGGGAACTTTCACAGAAGATAGAACCACGCCATTATAATTACTGCTCTTCTCGTGTTTCTGAGGAGCACAGAAGGTAGAAACTTGGTTAGCAGACAGTTTATTACACTGCTACATTGTGCCACACCACCGTTGACCATATCTCGCGGCTTTGCCAGCAGTTGAAAAGACTTGTTCTTCTCTTAGTACCCTGCATTAAATCCGTGATTGTCTGCTATCTGAAATGATGCTCCATTTACCCGGGAGCACCTCCTTTCTTATGGCCCCTTCCCTGTTCCTACGCGCGCCTTCCTCCACAGCCTCAGGGCTGAGGGAGGCTGCGGCCGTTGCTCCCCTCAGCGCCGGCTGCGGCGGTGCTCTGCTGCTCCCGGCTGCCGCTCGGCCCCAGCTACGTGGCCAAAGCCCCACGAAATCAAAAGCAAATGAGGCTTGCGAGCCTCAGGACCTCTTTTCCTCGTCGGTTGCCCCAGGACGGTCGGCTGTAAGGCCGGGGTTGAGGAGAGAAGCCTCGAGGAGCCGCAGCGGGCTGCGCTGACCCGCCACAGCCTCCCCGTGCTGCGTCCCCTCCGCTCCGGGTTTCCTCCCTCGCCCAGCAGCGCTCCACGTGCACGTGAACCCGGATAGCCGAGGCCCGGCTGGCGGCCCGAGGCGCCGTGGCACAGCTGTGTGCTGCCGAGGGGAGGGGCGGTGCGGGGCGGCCAAAAAAAGGCCGCGGGAGGAGGTGCGACTCGTGCTGCTGAGGGCCGCGTGCTGCTGCTGCGTGATGCGGCCGCCTTCACGCCGACAGCTCTGTGCGAACGGATCGCGGCTTCCCTCGCGTGCTTCCAGATGACGACTTGCAGCGCTGGAGAATTCACGGTAAGGTCGAAATTCACTTTTTTTTTGTCTTTGGTGTGCGCGTTTATTCTTTGCAATTGAATTTTTTGACCTGCCATGTCGCAGAGAATGCATTGAGGAGTTTATTTGCGTGTTCCTGTTTGCTTGATGCTGGTGGTTGTACGTAGGAATTACTGATACGTTTGTCCTTTGGTGTGTTGCTCCCAGTTTTGGGAGAAGGTGCTGCGTGCTTATTAGCTGAGATTGAGGTGAGTTGAGACTGAAGAGCTTTGAAAGGCAGCTCCCTGTGCTTATGGCTGCAGCTGTGCTTCTGGCTCAGGTGTTCTGTGCTGGAATTGCTTCATCTGCAGAGCAAACTCTTGCCCTATGTTAAGTTTTGCTTGTTTATGTTAATGAAGATAGTTTCAGTGAACGTTAGCTGGTGAAAATCCACTCCTTATTTTTTGAAGCGCTCTTTGTATCTTTTTGGCCCATTAAAATAAATCAGAACTGTTGCTGTTTAGCTGCTTGCATCCCGTTCTGTAGAGATGTGTTTGGCAAAGTCCACGGTAATAACTTTTGGGGCTGATACAGCATGTCCTACGAGTTGGTTGTACCTAATGGTGCAAAAGCCTAAAGCAGAAATCTCTCCTCATCCTTGTCGAGGTCTGCCTAGCGACAGGAGCCTCGAGATTTCTCAGCTGCTTCAGTGGGTTTTAGCTGGGCGCTTCGTTAAGCCGGCCCATTCCTTTGTTCGCTGCCTGCACTGAGCCGTGTTGCCGCTAGGGGGCGCCCTCCCACCGGCTGTGCGAGCGGCTCGCGTGACGTGCGAGAGCGTCGATAGCGGCTGCAGCGGGAGCGACGTGCAAATGGCGATGTGCCATCCGTGTCTGCTGCTCCTACAGTTCGAGGTCATTAAGTTCACAAAAAAAAACAGATTTTTTTTTATTTTTTAATTTTTTTGGTTTGTACCTGTTTTTTGTTGTTCTTAGTTTCTTAATTGTTTTAAATGTTTTCTGCCTGCGGTGGTTTGACAGAGGTGTTTAAAAATGTACAAAACCCCTCAACCAGAGGGAATAACCGCTATGAACTGACAGTATTCATAAATTCTTTTTGGTGAGGATCTTGTGTACACTAATCACTCAGAGGACAGTATGTACATCATGTAGAAAGAAAGGTCACAGAGTCACAGAATGGCCAGGGTTGGAAGGGACCTCAAGGATCACGAAGCTCCAACCCCCTGCCACAGGCAGGGCCACCGACCTCCACGTATCATAGCAGCCCAGGCTGCCCAGGGCCCCATCCGACCTGGCCTTGAACACCTCCAGGGATGGACGGGGCATCACAGCCTCTCTGGGCAGCTGTTCCAGCACCTCACCACTCTCATAGTACAGAACTTCCCCCTGACATCCAACCTCAATCTTCCCTCCCTCGACTTAAAAACCATTTCCCCTTGTCGCGCTGTTATCTACCCTTTCAAAGAGTTGACTTCCTTCCTGTTTGTAGGTGATGGTGATGGTCATAAAAAACAGGACAGGTTTTTAGTGTTGCTCTCCTGCTTCCCATATCTCGAGACTTTTGCTTTTAACAGTCACTTGTCATGAGCACTAAATTTTCTGCTTGGTGGGGAGGGAAGTTGATGGGTTTTTTTTGTTTGTTTGTTTTTTTTTTTTTTTTTTTTTTTTATGCGTATCTTCACTTGAAAAACAACTTGGAACACTTCAAATGGATGTAAATGTAGCTTTTAGAAAATGCTTGTGTGTATAGAGCTTCAAAAGCTTTACTCTGAGTGTTTTTAAAAGAAAAGTATGTAAAAGTATGTGAGAACAGGATGAAGAGAGCATATTTCCATGCTATGTAGTAGCAAGAGAACTTACCTCTTTTTGTTACATCAAAAGCTAGTGCTTAGGTCTTACTTTTCCTTACATGAATGCTTTTTCCGAACATTTTCTGCACTATTTGCTGTTAGGGCTGTGTCTTCCTAAATCCATCTTTGTGGATGGCAGATACAGACTGGCTGTGGGAGAACAGCATAAGCAAGGTGTAACTGAACTGAAGGAAGAGGTGAGCTGGCTGCAGGTGTTCCCTGGTCTGCAGTCAGGGCGTGAGGGGTGAAGTGAGGAAGGGACAGACTGGGTCTCCTCTGAAGTCTAATGTATTTTGCTGTAACTTAATCCAGTGAGTTCTTAAACATGCTCTGAAGCATGGGTCTTATTCTCATTGGGCTTGGTGGGTCTGTCTTCTGTTTAATGAAATGCATCCTTCTACCACCATAATTTTACTGAGAAAATCCACACAAATCACATTTAATATTAGTTGTAACAAAAGCATTAATTTTTAAATATCCATTTTTGACAATTTTGCTTAGTTTTTTTTCTAAGTGATGTAATCTGTGCTTGAGTATAAAGTTGCAAGATCACTTGTAATGCTGTAGTATTTACACTTTCCACTTGCAATTGTGTAGTATTTACCTCTTAAATCCTCCTAAAATGACTAATCAATTCATGGGCATCATATTGGTAATGCAACCTGAAAAGCAGGCCAGATGATGATCTGCAGACACCCTGAGCAAGCAGTAAGTAGTTAGTTATACCTGCTCACAGTCCTCTGAATAATTGGCCACTTCTCTTGCTTGTAAAGAGGGAAAAGCTTACAGTAATGGCAGCTTCCATGTGTTCAAGGAAATGCAACTTCTGCTTATCTCTGAGCTTAATCTCTTTGTTCAGCCAAAAGAGATTGGGGAGTGAGAGATTACAGTGTGGCAGTGTCCTCATGAGAGGGCCTAGGCGCTGCTGATGGCATCACACGTGTCAGTATGCTAACACCGAGGGGAAACTTGGGATGCAGTGGCAACAATATTGAGGGTTTTCTTCCTATTCTGGTCACTGGCACCAGGAGATCTCGCAGCTGTTCCGTTTTTAAATACGGCAAGTCTGAGGAATGAGAATGGTGACGTTACAGTGTAGCAACTTGCAATTAAAGTGGACCTCAGACCTTTCAGTCAAGGGGAAGTTCAGTTCTGTATGCTGTGTCTTTTGAAGCTCTGTAATGACTGGACTAGTTTGACTAATGATACAGAGATTAGCATCTGCCTTCTAAGGATTTAGAAAGTGCTGTGATTTTTTTCCTGACCTGTTTTGAACAGGAAAAGCAGGTTAGGAATATGCTGAGGACGCCGTCTGCAGCCTTAGCAAATACTCTGGGTAGGATGGGATGTGGTGGAGGCTGAGGGCATTACTGCTAAGAGACTCTTTTGGGGATAACTGAAGCAGTGAAGGTGAGGAGAAAAGTGCAGCAAAGTGAATAGATTCAGCTGCCTATCTCTGAGCAGGTAGCTGTGGAATGGTTAGCACCACAGCCTCAGCAGCACTGTGTGGTGTTCAGTCAAGAAGCTGGGCAGACAGAGATGTGGTTACAGGACAGAGGTGGCTCTGCTCATGTTGCTGGTCTCGTGAGCTGCAATGACAAGTGGTTACAAAATAATGGGCTCTAGATGTTTTGAGGCACTCCAGATAAACCAAGTTGGGGAAAGATTGCTGGGAACATGATCATGACTTTTTGGTTATGTGTCTGTCATTGAGCATAAAAGAA